TTTTTATTAAAAAACCGTCGTCTTTACTTCATAATAGACGACCCTTTTTATAAAAAACCGTCGTCTTTACATATAATAGACGACCATTTTTATAAAACAACCGTCGTCTTTACATATAATAGACGACCCTTTTTATATGAAAACCGTCGTCTTTACTTCATAATAGACGACCATTTTCATATAAAAAGGATCGTCATTACTTCATAAAAGACGACCCTTTTTATAAAAAGACCGTCGTCTTTACTTAATAATAGACGACCCTTTTTATAAAAAAACCGTCATCTTTATATATAATAGACGACAGTTCTTTCAAAACAACCATGTCTTTACCAAAAAAAGGACACTTGATTTTTAAAAGACGACGCTTGTCATACCTGCTATCGTTGTTTTTTGGTCAGATTTTAACTCTAAAGAAAAGCTTTTTAATAAGACGACGCTTTTTTATTTGTGTGCGTCGTTATAAAAAAATTCTCAACAGTATCTCCTTTTTTTAGTTGTTTAAGTCACTTATCCACGACGGTTTTTTGTTACCGTCGTCTTTTTAAAAACGACGGTTTTTTGTTCTACCGTCATCTTTTTCTGGTCATCTTTTGCCCTTTTTGTAGTAGTGAAACATTGTAGGTGCCAAACATTCTACTAACCTTATTAATTGACTATTACTAGCCACATTAATTGACTAATAAACAACATAATTAACATCACCCATTGTGTAAACAACAAATAATCAGCCTATACTAGTGATACCCACTCTCAAGGTAATTAGGCACTTCAATTTCATAGAGAAGAAGATAGGCCCTAGTTGTTAGTTTTGTCACCCAAAGGGAATGAAGTAAATCAAGCTGAGAACCGAGAAGAAATCCAAGCGAAAAGATTTGAAGGAACCTATGTCATAGTAATGGGAAAGAGAGAAGAAGCTGTCCATTTCTTTCTTTGTTCCTTTTTTCTAGGGTAAGGGTAGCAGTGGGGTTAGATCTCAAGAGCTTGTTGCTCTGATTCCATGTTTCGGAAAAACAAAATAAACAAAATAAGGATATAGAGAAGAAGATCATTGTATATTACATATTGTCATATCAAATGAAGGTAGAGTACATTAATTTATGTAGGATCCAGGGAATAAATTCTCCACTAATCAGCAGCTCCAATTTAAGTAATCAATTTAACAAGTAATGAATGGCTAGCTAGCAGGCAGGCACTGACTAACAAGTAATGAATTTAAGTGATGAATTCTAATTAAACATAACATATATCAATCTTCTGCAGCCAGTGCACGATGAGCAATGATATGCTTCCTCGTTTCAAAATCATTTTAAGTCGAAAACTCTGACTCAAACAACCAAACAAAACTCGTTTGTGTTTTCATACAACAAATAATCACATAACTCAAAGTCAGTCAAAAAATCAAAATCCAGTAGTTCAAAGCATTCCTTACAGAGAAGTATTTTATCAAATATGACAAATTTGATTAAAACCCATCAAATCCTAAAGTAAAAAATGCCAATCTTTCAATCAAGAACTATACAAAGCCACTAGACCACAATGGAAGACCAATAATCAAAATAGATGCAATCAACAAATTTAAGAATTATAAGTTAGAGCATCCACAATGGGCTCCATAAATCACCTCCTTACACAAATTTTAGGGAGCCATTGGAAAAATACAACTCCAACCATGCTCCCTATCCACCTTCTAAAATAGAGAGATCTCTAAGAACTCCTAAATCTGAGAAGAGAGAAAGGACTCCTAGTGGCTCCCTATAATTTAATGCTCAATTACTTTAATAGTATTTTAACCATTTATTTATTGCCAACTATTTTTTGTTGTTGCTCTTGTGTCTATACATTTTTCAAATGTTGAATTAAAAATTATTAAAAGCATTTATGACTCTTTAAATTAGGGAGTATGGTTGGAGTTGAAATTTTATAGAGAGCTCCTAAAATATATTTATAGTATTTTGAGCTAAATTTTAACTAAAAAATAGGAAGCATGATTGTGGATGCTCTTATAGACTGACATTTAATGCCAGTACATTGAAAACTAAACAAGTATGCTCTAAAAGCCATTCCATTCTCCCTCAAAACTTTTTGAGTGAAACATGTTACAAATGGAAATCCACAACTTTATTATAATCCAAAGCAGCTCCAACAAAATTTATTCCAATACATACCTAAAAGCACGATTATAGTTCTTATTAGAAAACTAAACCAATCATTAACCCCTAATGCGACCCAATACCCTCTCCCAAACCATTAAATCTTTACCACCCATCAGCTAAAACACCAAAGTTTCCCAATTTTCTTCTGAAAACAAAAACAAAAAACCAACAAAAGCAATCCACTAACAAGCGAAATTACCTGAGCAAAACAAGACTACTTAAGCACACCATTATCACCAATCAACAAAAAAAAATGGATATAGAGAAGAAGATCATTGTCTATTACATATTAAGCTAAAGGCTTAATAATCTGTATCAACGATACTAAGTATTTAGATTAGCAGTTCTCATACACCGAGCAGTTTAACCAGAAATAAATCGAGGTATCTTACAATTGAAAATTGGAAAGAATATGAATAAGAATAATAAAACGGATTGAAGCAAGCAAGCTGACTCCACTTATACGAACTAAAACAACCTAAATTTGAACAAAACAGAATTTACCAAAAGCACTTTAGTCATAAAATTGAGAGGAGTATGGTAAACAAATATATACCCTGAAAGTTGGATGACCATCATTAGGTAAGATAAATCCATCCTTAATGGATTGGATACTATGGACGGAAATGCAAAGTCCCAAGTTGGCGATAACCTATAAGGAACAACATCACAGTGAGTCAAGGTAAAAACATTGTGTATAAGAAACAAAGGGCAAAATTCAAAATATGTATCAGGCCACAAACCTTATCTAAGAAAAGCTTCTCAAGGTCTCCCCTAACTGCATCTTCTAGACGACGGCTAAGCAGATGAGGAGGCAGTCGCAGAGTGTGCTCAATTCGGCTAAGGTAGAAATTTGGGTTGTCTTCTAAATTATATTCCAAAATCAAGTACGCACAGATTAAAGTTGCAGATTTTGGGCATTGTTTTCAAAGGCATGAGTAAGTGTGCATCGGAGCGCGCGTTGGAGCGAGGCGGAGGGAAATCGCCTTAGGCGTACGGTTGTTTAGCTTGTTGCCCACTTAGCGTGGCGAGGTGTGATGAGGCGTGGCAAGGCGTGCGAGGCGAGGCTTGGAAGGCACAAAGAAGCGCCGCTATCTGCAAGCCAGAGTGCCAGGAAGAAGACAACCTGGCTTGAATTTTTTTTTGTTAGGGTTAGTTTTAAAGCAACAACGTCGTTTCATCCAGTTAAGTGTTTTTTTTTTTAAACTAAGGTGACTAAACGCACGTTTTGGTTTATATTTTTTAAACAAACAGCATGCCTTAAAAGGCCCCCACTGAACAATACTTCCTCTTTTTTTCTTCTAAATAAATACATTAATGAACCTATTAGTATATTCCTAATGCGATAATCTTCATCAATTTTAATTCTCTACATAAGTTAAAGTGTCTCTCTCCTTCGGTATGCAATTCTCTTTGTACAAGATTCATATAAATATATATATGTTAGTTTTTTTTTTTTTTTCCAAACAACACAATAACCAACTAAAAATAACACTCAAGTCCACACATAAATGCCCGAAAATCATAGCATTTTATGTTTCATGATAATGAGTGGGATGCATGAATTGAGTTTTACTTTTGATGTTGAATAAGTATTTTATGTTTTGAGATTGATTATTATGCTTGAATCATATTTAGCGAGCAGTTTAACCAGAAATAAATCGAGGTATCTTACAATTGAAAATTGGAAAGAATATGAATAAGAATAATAAAACGGATTGAAGCAAGCAAGCTGACTCCACTTATACGAACTAAAACAACCTAAATTTGAACAAAACAGAATTTACCAAAAGCACTTTAGTCATAAAATTGAGAGGAGTATGGTAAACAAATATATACCCTGAAAGTTGGATGACCATCATTAGGTAAGATAAATCCATCCTTAATGGATTGGATACTATGGACGGAAATGCAAAGTCCCAAGTTGGCGATAACCTATAAGGAACAACATCACAGTGAGTCAAGGTAAAAACATTGTGTATAAGAAACAAAGGGCAAAATTCAAAATATGTATCAGGCCACAAACCTTATCTAAGAAAAGCTTCTCAAGGTCTCCCCTAACTGCATCTTCTAGACGACGGCTAAGCAGATGAGGAGGCAGTCGCAGAGTGTGCTCAATTCGGCTAAGGTAGAAATTTGGGTTGTCTTCTAAATTATATTCCAAAATCAAGTACGCACAGATTAAAGTTGCAGATTTTGGGCATTGTTTTCAAAGGCATGAGTAAGTGTGCATCGGAGCGCGCGTTGGAGCGAGGCGGAGGGAAATCGCCTTAGGCGTACGGTTGTTTAGCTTGTTGCCCACTTAGCGTGGCGAGGTGTGATGAGGCGTGGCAAGGCGTGCGAGGCGAGGCTTGGAAGGCACAAAGAAGCGCCGCTATCTGCAAGCCAGAGTGCCAGGAAGAAGACAACCTGGCTTGAATTTTTTTTTGTTAGGGTTAGTTTTAAAGCAACAACGTCGTTTCATCCAGTTAAGTGTTTTTTTTTTTAAACTAAGGTGACTAAACGCACGTTTTGGTTTATATTTTTTAAACAAACAGCATGCCTTAAAAGGCCCCCACTGAACAATACTTCCTCTTTTTTTCTTCTAAATAAATACATTAATGAACCTATTAGTATATTCCTAATGCGATAATCTTCATCAATTTTAATTCTCTACATAAGTTAAAGTGTCTCTCTCCTTCGGTATGCAATTCTCTTTGTACAAGATTCATATAAATATATATATGTTAGTTTTTTTTTTTTTTTCCAAACAACACAATAACCAACTAAAAATAACACTCAAGTCCACACATAAATGCCCGAAAATCATAGCATTTTATGTTTCATGATAATGAGTGGGATGCATGAATTGAGTTTTACTTTTGATGTTGAATAAGTATTTTATGTTTTGAGATTGATTATTATGCTTGAATCATATTTAGTAGGGGTGGGCATTGGAACCGCAAAACCGCAAAACCGAACCAAACCAATCCGAAAAAAACCGAAAAAAACCGTGTTGACCGAAAAAGTCAACAACCGAGTCCAATCCAAACCGAACCGGTTCAGACCGGTTCCGGTTCCGGTTTTTCATCCTAAAGAACCGGTCCAATCCGAACCGGTCCAATAAAATTAATATATATATTTTTTATATTATATATATTTAGAAATCATTTCTTCTCGGTGCTTGGTGTCTCGACCATTGGAGCTTTGAGTTTGGCCCTCTGGCTGTCCTCTTCCGGGGCTTCACGCTAGGGGTGGGCATTGGAACCGCAAAACCGCAAAACCGAACCAAACCAATCCGAAAAAAACCGAAAAAAACCGTGTTGACCGAAAAAGTCAACAACCGAGTCCAATCCAAACCGAACCGGTTCAGACCGGTTCCGGTTCCGGTTTTTCATCCTAAAGAACCGGTCCAATCCGAACCGGTCCAATAAAATTAATATATATATATATTTTATATTATATATATTTATATTTGAAATTATTTAATATTTTCATATGTGGCTAAGGTTGATTGGGTGTGTATGCTGCTACCAAAGGTGAGCACACACAGAATCACACGAAAAAAAAACGCTGACTAAGTGACTTAGGGTTTTTTCATTTTGGTCTTCGTTTTCCTCCCTTCCAAACCTCTAAGCTCTCTCCTTCTCAGCCGCCGAAACCAGAGGCTCTGTGTGCGCCATCGCCAAACCGCTCTCAGCCATCATCTCTCTGAGCCAAACCTACCTTTCTCTCATCCTTCCTCTCTCTCATCCTCTCTGACAGAAGCTCTGTCTGCGCCAACAATCCTCTCTGCGCAAAATCCCTCTCAGGCAATCCTCTCTGTCATCCAGCGCCCTCTCAGCCTCCGCTTCTCTCAGAGCCGCCACCTCTCTCAGTCGCCACCACCTCTCTCAGTCGCCGCCATCACAGGTCAGATTTTGTTTTCGTTTTTTCCTCTTTTTTTTTTCCTTTTCCCTTTTGAATCTGCAGCTCACTCCAAATGTTGTATTCTTCACAGATTCAGCACAGCAGTTCGCAGCCATCTCTTCATTTTATTTACCTCTCTTTCTCTCTGTCAGGTATGATTCAACTCTTCAATTTATTTAATATCTGATTGTTATGCTGCCAAGTTTAGTTTAGTTCTTAGCTTTGTTATTGTTTGCTGGGTTGTGGTTTGGTTTTTTGTGGCTGCTGTTCTGTTTTTGTGGCTGCTGTTCTATTTCAAATTGGATTATTAATGTAATAATTTTACCAAGGACTTGTAAATTTCCATTCTTGCTGATAAGAAACCTCAGTGCCCTTCCTTCAAGAATTGGGTAAATTTCCATTTTTGCCGACAAGAAACCTCAGTGCTCTACTCTATAAATGAATAAAACCTGATGGTTTAAACTACAGCACATTGAGTTTTATACATAATAATATGGTGTAGCCTTGGGTTCAGCTCTCGACGATTTGAGAGTTCAATCATAAACCTTGATCCCTAAATCAGCAGGAGATGGTATATTGAAGTATTGTTTAATGGCTTGTTTTTTTTCTCTTTTTTCTCTCTGTTTTAGGGATCAAGTTTTAATGGCTTGTTTAAACTTGTAACTCATAACTTGGAAACTAAGGCATTGCTAAGACATGTTATTAGTACTTACAATGCTTATGTGAATCTAAAATTTACTTGCTCAATTTTTTTGCGAGATTGAATCTGAAATTGTTAATATTTCTGAAATTGTTAATATTTTATTGGTTGTAATATGGCATTACCATGTGAATCTGAAATTGTTATTAGTACTTACAATGCTTTACTACAATTCATTGATTTAGGAAATTGAATTGGCAGCAGTTGGTGCAGATCAGAAAAAGATTTCTGGAGCATTTTGCAGCTTTTCTGCCACTCTCTGAGGTATTCTTCATTTCTCTCTCTGTCTCTCTCTCAGATTTTGATGTTTTGCAGAAATTCTGTATATTTTTTAGTTGTTTTTTGTGGATAAATGTCCTCTGTTATTAATGTACTATATAATATGTATGTTTGACTAATGTTTTAATGGGTTTATATTTTTTTATGTAGATATTATGAGTTCATCCACACATACCAAGTGTGCTCCAGCTACTTTTCAATGTTAAAGAGGAATTTAATGAAGTTGGATTGAACTTGAGTTGTAACATATATTTGGATTGAATTTGGGTTTTATTTGGCTTGTAATTTATTTTGCTAAAGTTTGATTGAATTTGGGTTGTAATTTATATGTTGTTGAAGTTTGATTGAAGTTGGATTGTATTTTTATTGAAGTTGGATTCATTTTGATGTGTTGAAAGCTTGATGGAAGTTTAAATTTTGGGTATTTTAGTATATAAATGCATTTCGGGCAGATCTGGAAAAAATGTAAAAAATAAAATTTTGGGCCCAGCAAAAACCGGAACCGCAGGAACCGAACCGGAACCGGACAGGTCCGGATTGGTTCGGATTTTTGTTTGGATTTCTGGCAGAACCGGTCCAAACCGAACCGGTCTGCAATTTCGGTTCAGGTTCCATTTTTTAGAGAAAACCGGTCCAAACCGGACCGTGCCCACGCCTAATATTTAGTACTTATATTTTTTTATAGAATATTCTGGCTCAATAAGAATTAGTAGTACAAAAACGCATTGCCTTTCAAAACATTGATTTTGGGCAAAGAATGCAATGTTAAATATCAACAAATTCAAGCATAATTGAAAAAATTTACCAGGCTCATTTTCCAACAATAGCAACCAGCGTGCTAATATGAACCAATAAGTCACTCACTCACTCTCTCTCTCTCTCTCTCTCTCTCTTCTGCCCCGTGGACAGAGGTGCACTTGCTGCTTCTGTTCGATGTCCTGCTCTCTGGCTCTCTCTGGTTAGTGTTCCTGCCAGTGCTTTGTGTTAGGTTTGGATTAGACAAGGGTTGGGTTGGGTTAAAATTTGGGCTAGGCTATGGGCTAAAACTAAATGCTATTTTAAAAAGCAAAAAAATACATGGATTGTAAACCATATAGCCCACAATGTGAGTTCGTCTTGGATTATGCAAGGGTTGGTAGTTCTATTTCCGGCTTAATTTATTTTTATTTTTTTATATCAGATTCGGCTTGAATTGGATTGGATTGGATTTGAGTTCAAGCCAGGTCTTACGAGTCTCATGCCTCTACATGGGACTCGTAAGATATAATATGTTGGACTGTTGTCTATTTTAACATGTCCAGTCTCAGTGCACCAAACAAAGATCAGGATTCTTGTCTTTTTTAATTGAAATATTCCAATTCAATCCTACCCACCAAATCTCAAGCAATTATTGGTACAATTTTACGTTGACTTATCCATTTATCTTATCATACTTTGGGACTAATCTATGCAAAACAATGATCCATTAGCAAAGCTGGTAATTGAGTCAACTTTTATTTTTCTTTTTCCAGGAGAGTCAACTTTTGTTCACCCCCTCTTGAATCAAACAACCTATTTAAAAAGAAAAAAAAAAAGCAGAATACTAAGGTTTCTCTAGGGTTCTCTAGGGTTCTAGGAGAGTCAAAACTCGACCACTACAGGAGGTGGCGACACCTCCGGAGTGCATGTCAGAACGACTGGATCTCGCAACCAGGTTCCTCACGCAGATGGAGGATATCTCTTCAGCCTTTTCGCATCGGTTTGTCCTTACTGATGTGGAGAAACAGGAAATAGTGATAGAGTCCAAGGAGAATATTGGTGTTAAAACCAATAAGTTCTTCCTGGTGGGAGCAGTGCTTTCAGACAAACCAGTAAACAAGGAAGCGCTACGTAAAACTTTTTACACGATCTGGAAACCAAGAGCTCGAGTTACAATAGTAGAACTAGAACAGAATAGGTTCTTTTTTGCATTCAATACAAGGGCGGAACGAGCAACCATCCTCAACAGGGGCCCGTGGGTGTTCAACGGCTACCCATTGATTCTCCCAGAGGCGGATGAAAAAGTTAATTCGATTAGGATTCCCCTTGTGATGCAGGAATTCTGGATACAGGTGAAAGGCCTCCCCTTGGCTTATATGACCAGGGCCATGGGGCGTCTGATTGGTTCTGCACTAGGTGGCTATGTTGTCACCGATCAGAGCAAGAAAGTGGGTTACTTAGGCAGTTACTTGAGGATACGTACCAGCATTGATGTGACAAAACCTCTCCGGCGAAGTTTAAAACTTAGATTAGATGGAGACCTATTGGAGGTGGAGATACGCTACGAGAAACTGCCTATCACATGTTATCAATGTGGTTTAATTGGCCACATGGAAGGCTCATGCACACGAAAGGGTTTTTCATTATTGACAAGGGATTCAGTCAAGAAGATTACTTTAGCATTGGGACAAAAAAACTCTTTTTCCAGAGGGTTTGATAAGATTCTTCATTTGCTTCTGGTTAGTAAGCTTTTTCATTTACTCCCTGATTTATTATATAATAAAATCTCTATTTTGACAATTTAGTTGATTTCAGGCAAGTTTAATGGAGAATTTGTTGAGATTTATCTTAATTATGTTTTCTGCAGAATAATTGTTGTTCCTATTTTATAGGAGTCAGTTGTTTCCTTTCCTGGTCTTTAGGAATCCCTCTAGTGGATGGAGTTTGTTAGACGTGTTTTACTTGTTCCTGTTTATTTGCTAATTAGTTGTTTGTACGCTCCTTTATAAGAAGAACATGTTTCAGTCAATGAATAACAAGTTCAGTTCAGCAATTCTTCTTATTTTCAAAGCTATCTTTTAGTTCTCACAATCTGGTATCAGAGCCCCCACTGGGCCTGACTTAAAATTCTCCAAAAGCAGCAGCTTTCTTGACTTGCAGCAGCAAGGACTGATGGCATCCGACAAGGTTCAAGAGAACTACGTGCAGCCAGCCATACCTCGCTTCGATGGTCATTATGACCATTGGAGCATGTTAATGGAGAATTTTCTGAGATCCAAAGAGTATTGGAGTCTCATTGAAAATGGAATTGCTGAACCAGCAGAGGGAGCGTTGTTGACAGAAGCGCAACAAAAAAGACTTGATGAACAGAAATTGAAGGACCTGAAAGTGAAAAACTACCTTTTCCAAGCGATTGATCGATCCATTTTGGAGACTATTCTCCAGAAAGACACTTCCAAGCAGATATGGGAGTCTATGAAGAAAAAGTATCAAGGTTCCACCAAGGTGAAGCGTGCACAGCTTCAAGCACTCCGGAGAGATTTTGAAACTCTTCACATGAAACCAGAAGATTCTGTTGATGAATACCTCTCGAAGACGATGACAATTGCAAGTAAGATGCGGCTCCATGGTGACAAGATGGGTGATGTCACAATCATTGAGAAAATTCTGCGTTCAATGTCACCAAAGTTTAACTATGTTGTTTGTGCAATTGAGGAAGCAAACGACATTGAAACAATGTCATTGGATGAATTGCATAGTTCACTGTTGGTACATGAGCAGAAATTCAAAAGTCATGATACTTCAAAAGAAGAGAAAGCTTTAAAAGTCTCCACCAGCAATGACTCATCATCATCATGGAGAGGTTCCGGTCGAGGTCGAGGTCGAGGCCGTGGACGAGGTAGAGGCAGAGGTGCTCATGAGTCCGGCGGCAGAGGAAATCATGATTCCGGCGGCAGAGGAAATCATGATTCCGGCGGCAGAGGAAATCATGATTCCAGCAACAGAGGAAATTATGATTCCAGCAACAAAGGCAAAGATCGATACAGACACCAAAGTTATCATGAGTCACAGCTCGACAAATCAAATATTGAGTGCTATAGGTGTGGTAGGTATGGTCACTACCGTTCTGAATGCCGCACTAACATGAATAGAGAAAGGGGAGAAAAATCCAATTTTACAGAGAAAGAAGAAGAAGCTACACTTCTGCTGGTGTGTCAAGCCGTGGAGAACACTCATCAGGATGTGTGGTACATTGACACAGGATGCAGTAACCATATGAGCGGTAACAAGTCATCATTCTCTTACTTAGATGAGTCTTTTCGATCTACTGTTCGTTTTGGTGATAATTCTGCAATTTCTGTTATGGGAAAAGGCAATATTTCAATCTGGACTAAGGATAATACTACACAAACCATCTCTAGTGTTTTCTATGTCCCAGATTTAAAAAGCAATTTATTAAGTGTGGGGCAGCTTCAGGAAAAAGGCTATGAGATCACAATTAAAGAAGGAATGTGTCAGATTCAAGATGCAAAGAAGGGACTCATTGCACAGGTCAAAATGACACCAAATCGTATGTTTCCTCTGCATATTCAAAGTGTGGGCCAGACTTGTTTTTCTGCCAAAGTGAAGGAGACAGCTTGGTTGTGGCATTATCGTTATGGTCACTTAAATTTCAAGGGATTGAAGACTCTACAACAGCTGAACATGGTGAAAGGTCTTCCAAATATTGATTGTCCAACTCAAATTTGTGAAGAATGTGTTCTTGGGAAGCAGCATCGTGAAACTTTTCCGAAGGGAAAAGCATGGAGAGCCAAAAATCCTTTGGAGCTTATTTTCTCAGATATTTGTGGACCCATCAATCCAACTTCCAATGGTGGGAAGAGGTATTTTATTACGTTCATTGATGACTATAGTAGAAAATCCTGGGTGTATTTCTTGCAGGCAAAATCTGAAGCTTTCTCAGCCTTTAAAAGCTTTAAAGCCCTTGTTGAAAACGAAGTCGGAAGAAATATAAAAGTTCTTCGAACTGATCGTGGTGGAGAATTCATCTCACAAGAATTTGAGGATTTCTGTGAGACGCATGGAATTCGAAGGCAACTAACGGCACCGTATACACCACAACAAAATGGTATTTGTGAAAGGAAGAACCGAACAATCTTGAACATGGTTCGAAGCATGCTGAAAATTCGTGGTGTTCCAAAAACGTTTTGGCCAGAAGCAGTAAATTGGTGTATTCACATCTTAAATAGAAGTCCGACTCTTGTTGTCAAAAACATGACGCCTGAAGAAGCTTGGAATGGTCACAAACCAGCTGTAAATTACTTTAAAATTTTCGGTTGCATCGCATATGTTCACGTTCCCGATGAGAAGAGGAAGAAGCTTGATGATAAGGGAGAAAAGTGTATTTTTCTTGGGGTTAG